AAACTGCATCTGCACGGCGAAAAATGATAACTCAGATTTCTTAGATTGATCAACCAAATTCTTTGAGACAAGTCATACGGTGTCGGCCGTCAGTGGTATAGAGAGGATGTTAATAGAGACATAGGAGATTGCCATGGTCATTTCTTAACTTTTATGCTCGTCGCCAACGCTATCTTTTATATTACCCTTGAAGTTTCTCTGGTGGTGAGGGCTTGTGACCGTGGGAGCATGTAATTGTTCGTACGCGAAAACGTTCCGCCTGGGAAGCAGATCAGTGGTGTGATTAACATGTTTCTTTAAGTATTGTCCACGGGATGGAAATCTGACTCATCTTTTCGAACGCGATACGGTAACGATTAGTACTTTGACTCGACTTATCTATATCATTAAAGACACAATGAAAAACAAGGAAATGCCTCATCAGTTGAATACGTTTAAGTTCCATTCTTCTTAAAGGTTTTCCCGGGTTGACCTTATGATTGAAATCTGTTCATAGTAACCTGCTCTTACGATGTCTTTTAACATCTAAATGAAGTCTCTTAAACGCTAAGGCGTGATTTCGAGGATTTCCTCGAAAAAAACAAGAATAGGTAATTCATATGGTCTTTTGCAAACGTCCAGGGAGGATAAGAATTATCGAATGATAACTCTAACTCTAACTCCAAGCAAAACTTAAACATAACTATATTTCCAACTTTAAACTCTCATATATTCCTAGCCCGAGCCTCAATCAAAATATCTCTTAACCCCAACCCTAACTTTCCCAAGAATCTTAAATTGGCACAAAAGCAGCGTAAGGACCCCGGAAAAGGGGTCTTATAACCGCGTGTTTGCCCTCTAACCATCCCAGTACCCAGGTTCATGTGTAGGAGTCCCGTAAGGTTATATATGTCCACCATTGATAACGCGTAATTAAACCATTTTGCTGAACTTCACATAAAGCCCTTTTCTTTATTTATGCAGCGTAAATAAATTCGCTGTCTAAATTGTACTTTCAATAAGTAGAAACCGCGGAATCGCTTAACAAGTTATATAAATAAAAACCCTAATAGTTCTGTGGTGAGCATTACATGACACGAGTGCACATACTGTGTACTTACGATAGTCTATTACTATGTGTAGTTTCAGTGAAACTAGTGCAAAGCTCCTCGTCACTATACCACTATTTAAGCATACGTAGATTGGTTACATTGATAATATGAATGACCCTTTTAAATCGCTTTTTAAATCGGATGCATTAAAACACTAACTTTACAACTTCCAACGCTTAGCCATTAGGGTATCTTTTGACTGGTGAAGAGTTGCTTCCTCGTCCTTTTTATGCTGTTCTTGAAATAAATAAAAAAGGAAAGCGATTGTTACTAACTTTTTGTTCCCGCATCGCCACTGTGCTAACTTGTCCCTTCATGTTACGTCTACAGAAGCGTCAGCTTTATTAAGTAAGCAGTAAATTCCATTGCAATCGATTTAGACGAGGAAACATAGACGTCATAGAAACTTTGGGCTATGGAAGTCGCAATTAGGGCATTTGACTTTTGCTTGGTTAATCAACAGGTAGGTTTAATCTGTGAATATTGCATCAATTAACTCACAATAACCGGACTACTTCTTAGTTCAACTATGGAGCGAGAAATAAGCAAACTTGCACTGGGTAACGCTGTATATATTGGTCGCCTAAACTGAATACGAGGCTCAGAATCTACATCAAAGATAATGGAATTTTACAAGTTTTCCGAAAAGCTGGTCGCACCCACTATAAGTCACAGGCAATCAGCCCAGCATAAATTGTAATGCCGATTGATCTTTTGGCAGTCTGAACTTTAGGCATAAACACGTGAGATCACTGGAACTGAAAGTTTATCCATTGGAGATTTCGACCTCCCCCTTTGCTCATATATATGAGTATTCACACACCTCAAAATTAAAAATGCTGACGAATATTCATTTTATTTAAAATATCAAAGAGCTTTATTAAGTTATGGATATAAAAATATATTTGTAATTTTCACAAGACGTCTTGGATTTTGTCCTAAAGCATGCAAGTATCTAATAGCTATGTAAAACGAACTACAACAGAATTGGTTGCCACACTGATTTAAAAACCGCTTGGTAGATTAAAGAGGAAGACAACTATTATTTTAGGTAGGTTTCCATTTCTATTTCTGCTCTCGAAGACCAGTAATTTATAAGAAAGTACATTATGAAATGCTGACCAAAAAATATGTGAAAAACAAGAATGAAAGCGTAGTTTTGGAAGATGCTGGAGGAAGTAACCTCCAGATACGCATGACAGTTCAACTAATTTGACCTAACTTGACGTATTCTTTGAGTTTCATTTTTTCCAGATAGTCTGATATTTCACAAAACAACTCCTCGAAAAGGAGTATAAGCCAGAAGAAAACGTTCAACGATATGATGAATCATATAAATAATTACACAGTATTCCATAAAATAGATAAACTGACAATAATTAAGGATCGTTTCAAGGAAATTGTGTAAAGCTTACGACTGGTATGGTTTTTCAAGGAATGCCTTCAGAGCTCTAAGCCAACAAACGTTATAACTGTCTTGCAGTAAAAAATTAATACTTGTATCTCACGGCCATTCATAGTAATGTTTGCCTGCTTTCGCGAAGGTGAACTGTGCCTTTCAAAGTTTGCGAGATATCCTGTCGGATTTATTTCAATAAATTATTTTACAGAAGGTTTTTTCTATGCATAATTGCCATTTAGTTGAACTTCTTCTTGCTGGAGTCATCAATTTAGGAAACAAATTTGTAAACATTAAAAGTACAGCTTACCATTCGACAATAATGGAACACCTATTGTTGGTGAACGATTTAGGGTGAATGGTATCACTCAAACTCCTCTTGTCATTCTCCTGTGGATTCAAAACTATGTGCTATCATAATAAACTTAATATATACTGTGAATCATTTCAATGATCAAACGTTTCTAACTTCGAATATTTATCATTTCCTGTTATCCACAACAGCAACGGATTATTATTTTCGGCTCAAAAGTTATTTTTTCCGGTAGTTCACACAAAAATGGCAGTAAAGGTAAACATAAGCTAAATTAACACGAGTTAGATCTAGGCACGGAGACGGAACATGCAGAACTGCCGAACGTACCGAACCTCAGTAATTTGTGGGAGTAAAAGATTGATGGAACTTTCGTTAAATCTACACCTTTGACCCTGAACAGCTCCATTACTAAGGAAATGGTTTATTGACCTCTTTTACATATAGTAACTCCGAGATCCTATAATTATGTCAAGTGGGTGACCTCGTTGTCTATCAAACACATAGGCTTAATTCGGAACATAAGGAATAGCAATAGCTTTCTCTGTCGTTAGTAAAAACTCAGACGTTTTTTTCAATTTCCTGGAGGACAAAACACTAAGATATATACATATATACAGTGTATTGTTAAATACTGTTTACTTAAGATAAACTTATGAAGTGAAAAACTGTGCAAGACGCAACTTGCTGAGCTACAAGGTTAGTAAAAAGTAAAGTGTGGATAGGGACATTTATGAAGCAGTAAACGTCTTACGCTAAACCCACAGAATAATATTTTACGTTCAGTTACACAAAGCCTAGCATCCTACAGC